CATCAAGTAAACTCAAATTGGTGAGCTGTTATAATAAGATCAAGTAAACTGTAAGTGGTGAGCTGTTACAACAACATCAAGTAAACTGTAAGTGGTGAGCTGTTACAACAACATCAAGTAAACTGTAAGTGGTGAGCTGTTACAATAACATCAAGTAAACTGTAAGTGGTGAGCTGTTACAACAACATCAAGCAAACTGTAAGTGGTGAGCTGTTATAATAACATCAAGTAAACTAAGTGGTGAGCTGTTACAACAACATCAAGCAAACTCTAAGTGGTGAGCTGTTACAACAACATCAAGTAAACTGTAAGTGGTGAGCTGTTACAATAACATCAAATAAACTCTAAGTGTTGAGCTGTTAGATGTGAAAAATTTACTTTACTATTTAAAGTTGGGGTTAGTTCAACCAATTACAGTTCCCAGAGGAACATTCAGACTTGTCACGTGTTTTGAACTCCCTTTTTATTTTTGTTGGGAAGTTCGAGAAATCAACTAAGTGATTGTGTAGAATATTGAATGTAATATAAATATGTCTCAAATTAAGTCAAAGAATAATTACATGCACCAAAGTTTTTCACAAAATTTACAATGCCCTCATCTTTATAACATTTTGAACTCAAATAAAAGACAGGAAGTTTCTCTATTCAGAGGAATAACACTGGAGTCATATTTTTAAGAAGTTTTTATTGAAGTCGTCAGCCGGACAGAGGTGAATAAATGAAGAAAATATTCTGATATGAGCTTGTATATACAGAAGTCTCAGACATGTGAAATACTACATCTCTACATTTAAGCAGTAGCAACACAAAGATAAAAAACAAAACAAAACAGGAGAGTTGCTGTTAATCAGCCAACTTCTACTGACATCATAAGGTCACAGTTTTGCTTGAGTACAGTTTCTTAAGGATGCTAAGACAAAAAACAGGTTAACCAGACACCCGAATGATGTTGAAATGTCGCAGGAAGCCACCGCAAGCTTTCAAACCACGATCAACAGATCTTGAATGATCAGGTTTGACTCTCCAGTGGCTACGTGAAGTTGAAAGTCTAGAAACTCAATGTTCGTCTGTCACTGGCCACTTGAAACATCTGGGTTTATATATTTGGTTTCTGGCAGTTACCACTCACTGTCTCCAATTGCTTTCTGGAACACATAATCCTTACCCGATAAGTTCATTATTCCATCCTTTAAGTGAAACTTCCACCTGTTTCTGCTTCGGGATATCTAATGAAAAACACAAACACCAAATCAATATGAATTAAATATTAACATTATTGGAGAGTAAGTCATACAACATTTAGAGGGTTCTTTCAAAAAATATATCCTTCAAAAATTTCACAAAACTTGTGAATATATTTGATTAAAAAAATTATGTGTGTGCTAATTGATGGGACATTGAGAAAATTTCCCATAGCAAAAATAAAGGTGGATTCTCCATATTATGTAGAAGACCTTGAGGCCATGTGTATCAAGGAACCAATACACGACTTGATGATAGGAAACATACCAGGTAGTAGAAACTTTGAGGAACTAGACAGAAAGAAGATTGATAAAGCATCTGCTGTCACCACCAGAGCTCAAGAAAAGAAGAGCAAACAAAACATCAAGCCCCTGCAAGT